CTCTCCTGCTTTCGAGGGGATCCCTTGGCTTCCGGCCCTTGCTGCCAAAGCCGGAATCCCAAATCCCGGAATCCCCAGGCGGCTCCAGCCCCAGTAAGGATGCTTTCTCCCGGTGCCGCCGGACGGGAAGCAAACTGGCGAGCTGGGTTTGGCTGAAAGTCCCTTCGCTGCCTTCTTCTTCTTCTTCCCTGCTTCCAGGACGGCGAATCCCAAATCCCGGAATCCCCAGGCGGCTCCAGCCCCAGTAAGGATGCTTTCTCCCGGTGCCGCCGGACGGGAAGCAAACTGGCGAGCTGGGTTTGGCTGAAAGTCCCTTCGCTGCCTTCTTCTTCTTCTTCCCTGCTTCCAGGACGGCATTTCTGGCTTGCATGAAGGGCATCAGATCTACCTTGAGCATCCCCAAAAAACCGCAAGGGTGGCACGCAAAGCAGCCGCGCTACGAGGCAGATTTCATGCTGGCCCCGCGGGATGTGCTCTGTGCTGGTGGAAATAACGTGTGCATTCATTGAGGAGAAAGAGACTAAATTGCGAAGACACCCGCGTGTCTTAGATGTTGCTTAGATGTCATGGGAGGAACGCTCAGTCTGCCCCATCGTTATGATTAAAGCCTTTGTTATTAGTGGGAAACAACAACATAAACAGAGAGGAAACCAGTTTTAATACAGAAGCAATGTTCTGCAGCTGCAGTGAGCTGCAGCTTGCAAGCTGTCAGCAGCCCTATGTCAGCTGGCAGAAATGCCCTGAACGCCCAGGACCCACCGTGCTACGTGGATGCTACATTTGATTTTCAGCCCGCCCCAACGTGAGACCTCTCCCGGTGGGTGCTCGGCATGGGAACTGTGCAGCCAGGCCGGCATCGCAGTGCTGCGCCCCTGGGGCAGGCTGACTGCTGATGCGCTGGCAGTCCCTCTTTCTCTGTTTGCTCTTTTTATCCTGCAGACAAATGACACTGAACAATTTTAACTGAGGCCTAACGATGATGCCTCTTGCTAATGCCAGCAGATATCCTTACGGAGTCTAAAACGCTGCTTTATTCACACAGGAGTGCTGGTAAGTGTTCCTCTCCTGAGGAAGCGCATTTGGTGAAAGCCTGGCACCCAGGAAGCATGTGGCTGCTCTGTCCCTGACCACGGTGGGGTGAGAATTGCTGGTGGTGATGAGGCTGATCAAGCAAAACCAGCAGCAGAGGCTGTTTCCCCCCCCAGTGCAGGGCAGTGTTATTGCTTTCGGGTGGATGCACTCCAGGTGGATGCTGGTGATCCTGGGAACAGACCTGCCAACGTTTCTCCTTTGGTGGGATGGTGTTGGTGGGACCCTGTTTGCTCAGCGTCGTTCTGTGCTGCTAGTCACAGCAAAAACCAAATACTCTGGTCTTGAGTTTGGCTTTAAGACAGGCATTCGCTTATTTAAGTAAACAGAACAAAGCAAAAAAATGTGGTTTTTCTTCACAATAGGTAATCTTTTCCAACACAAGCTCTACCGTAGCAGCCTTTCCCGGCTAGCTGGCTGTGGTTGTGCCGCAGGGACCTGCATCTCTCCGCCTAGTGCTAAAACAAGATAACGTGGCCATGACAAGCCTGGGATGACTGCTTGAACAAAGCGAGGTGCAAAACCGGATGGACAGAAGTGATGGACAAATGCAGGAGCCAGGGGAATCTCTTCATACCTCATCCAGGTACTGATAACCAAAGACTGGATGGCGATCTTGCAGGGACCTCCTGGGTCACACACTGCCCTCCCCTGCTGTTGTAGTCGTATCAATATGTCCCCTATGGTTATCAGGCTTCATATTGGCTTCTTCCGTGGGTACTGCTGAAACCCTTCCCAGACCTCTTTGCTCTGAAAATCGGAAATCTTTTGATACCCAGCCTGAATCAATGGCTTCTTTACAGCTCCGCAACTTTTGGCTTGGGCTTTCATAAGTTTTTCTCACGTTTTCTCCACTTCCATGTGTCTCTCAGTAGTGATTATATCCCCTGTTCTGATAGTCTAAATAAGCCCAAGTTTTGGTAGTTTCCTCTCGTAAGATAAGTCCTTTCTTTGACTGTTGTAGTCGTCCTTTGTTGCACCAGTTTCAGTTCCTCTGACAGACAGGGGATAAGGTTTTCAGAGTTATGGCTGGGATTTCAGGTTTAAGATCAATAGGACTTTTGTTTCAAAATCCAGTTTGAAGGGTTTTTAAGAACATATCTGATCATTACAGTGAGCATCACAAAGTTTGGAGCACAAGCCTGTTGTTCAGCTACAAAACAACAACTCTGCTGACTCCCAAGAACTTGTACGAACATTTATAATCGCAGGAGGGAATCTAAGAGCCATTCAGACAACAGATAAGATCCGTAACAAAAGTGGCTGAGATGCAATTGTTATTGTGCAACTCAAAGAAAAGGCTGTCACACACAGAGGATGTTGCCAAGAAAGATGCATTTGAGTCACTAAGCCGTTCTTCTCCTATCTGCTGTCCAAATTGTCCTGCAGTCTTCCTGGATCTGTTCAGGCTTAGTTGGGTGATCCACTGGATTAGGGGGTGACTGAGTTTAGACTTGCCATTGGACACAGCTTTTTGCCAGGATGTGTCAGATCTTTGCCTTGGTCCAGTCCTTGTTCAGCCTTCCCAGCATGGAAAAGGGAACAGTTTCTGGTTCAGAGTATCTCCTGAGCCGTGACAGGACTTGGAGCACTCAAAAGCAATCAAAGCAAAGTTGCCATTGCCTTCTCTTGGAGCAGGAGCAATTAGAAGGCAGTTAGAGCTGCGTGGGGATGTCTGAAGTTGTGCAAAGGCTTAGACCAGCCCCCGGACCAGAGCATGTAACAGGATGGTGAAGGTTTCCTTTGCTTGCCATCTGGGTCTTCCTCAGAGCATGCCTTTGGAGTTCAGCATGGCTTGTGCACTGCCTGCGAGGCGTTAGTTGCCCTATGAACAAGCCCCATCGTGTGCAGTGAACAAGAAACTAGCACACCACATATGTAAGTCATTTATGAAGACGGGAACGATGAACTGTGCACACAATAGAGTTGCTATTAGGTTTGTCGATCCTAATTAAAAAAATACTTCTCAATGAAAATTATTTATAAAAAGAAATCACAGTGACCATAAATCAAATTATTTGTGAATGGTTTTTAGTCTCCCAGATCAGTTAAAACTCCTGTGTTAGTCACTGGATGTCATCCAAACTACATGCTGAATGAATAACATGTCTGCCAAATTTCATTTTTTTTCACCCTCGCCCAGCTTGGCACGGGGCAGTTAAAGTCATTTTTCTAAATATCTTTCAGAACATCAAGCAACTGTGAAATAACAATGGAAAAGCTTGGCCACAGTTAACTACAGCCCTCCAGTTGTAACCGCTTCTCTCAAAAAAAGTCACTCTGTTTCCTTTATGATCTGTTTTGGGTGAGCACCAAGGCAGGGTTTCCCCTGTGGGGAGGGGTCACTCTGCCTGCGATGCCACCCCACCAACAACCTGGCTTCCAGGTGTTCAGGAGTGGGGCACAACTGGATCCATGCTGTCCCTGGGTACAGGGTTTGTGTTTTCCTGACCACCTGCTAGAGATGAGCATCCCGAGGACATATCAGCTCTTCCTTGTCCATGACTGCAGTTCC